ATCATTGAAACCCCTACCTGACCCTAATAACAATGATGCACCATGGGCTATCTCAACAGCAACCAGCATGAAGATAGCTAGAGATTTCTTTAAGGATCTCTTCAAATATGAAATCGAGAACATCCCTCAAGATCAACGTAATGCTGAAATTGATGATTTTTTGCTTCCCCTCACGAAATCATTATCAGATGAGCAAAAGGAAATGCTAGAAAAATCGATCTCCAAAGAGGAAATTTGGAAAACCCTGATGCTAATGGAGGAAGAAAAAACACCTGGTATAGATGGCTTACCAAAAGAGTTATGGGAATCAATGTGGGACTCAATTTCTTAAAAATTGATGAATTTCTACCAGGATGTATGGGACTCAAGAGATATGGGTGAACTAGTAGGACAAGGGGTTTTAACATTGCTCAACAAGAAGGGTGAAAAGACTAATATCAGAAACGGTCGGCCTATAACCTTGCTAACTGTAGTTAGTGGAGAGGGCATTAGCGGATCGAATGACCAAAATCATAGCGGATATCATTCACCCAGCACAAACAGGATTTATATCGGATAGGAATATAACAGATAATGTTCTTCTAATAAATGAACTCATAAAGATCTCACGCCAGTCTAAGCACAATGCAACTTTAATTTTCATTGATTTTGAAAAGGCTTATGATCATGTGGACTGTTTTTTCTAGATAAATGTGTTGAAAAACTTAATTTGGTCCATGCTTTCGAAGATGAGTCAAAATTTTACACATCAAATCAACAACGAGGGTAATGGTTAATGGCAATGTAGCTCCTCCCATTCCTCCATACAGATCAGTAAGACAAGGCGATCACATTGCCCCATTCCTCTTTGTTATTGTTATGGAAGTTCTTGCTGCCAATTTAAGAGTTCACAAAGACATCAAAAGCATTCGAATCACATCTATTCGAGAAGATGCTATCCCAATATGTTTTCTCTTTGCAGATGATCTGCCATTAATGGTTGATGCATCGCATGAAAATTTACTAGCCATACAAAAATTGATGGAACGGTTTTGTCTCCTATCAGACATGAAGGTTAACTGGGGTAGCAAAACACTGGGTTGGTGGATCCACCACCAAGGAGTGAGACCTCCAGAACAACCGAGTATTAAATGGTTGCCTAGAGATCAACTCATCAGAGTGTTAGGAATCTCCTTAACGACAAAAGGAAAACATAAAACTAACAATGAATGGGCTGTTCAACAAGCCCAAACAAAGATGCAACTGTGGAAAAATAAACACACTTCACTATTAGGGCGAACACTAGCCATCTTAATATTGGCATCAAGATGATATAAGTCAACAATATGGGCCCTCGACAAGGAAGCGCTTAAGGTATTCCAACAACAATTAAGAGCGTTTCTTTGGAGAGGTAACCTGACAATTTGTGATCCAACCAAAATCTAGAGGAGGATTGGGCATTATAGACCCAACCACTTAAGCATCAACTCTTTCTATTCAATGGATCAAACGTCTGCTCTTTAATCATCAAACTTCATGGAGCGCTCTTGCCTGGGAGCAGATTATAAGGCTAGCTCCCCCTACGCCTAAAAGAATTGATCCAATGACGTGGATAAAAAATCGTGACTGGTCACTCCCAAGAGGAAGCACTAAGGAATACGATAATCAAACACCATCAAACCGACAAGCAGCACGAAGTGACCTGGGTAAGGATTCGTTTTGGATCACTCTGCTAAAAACATGGAGAAGACTACCCCTAGCAGACAAATTAGCGCCAGAAAGGTGGGAGGAAGTGTGCCAACAACCTATTTTTAATAATAGATGGATCAGAGATTCGCAAGAAAATGTTCTTCATTGTATGGATTCCCCATGGAAAAGCTGGGTAAGGAGAGGAGTCCTAAGGGTAAAAGACATATGGGATCCAATAAGCAATGATTGGAAGACAACAAAGGATTTACAAGATCAACTAAGGTATTGCCATCATACCTTTGGGAGCTTGGAAAGGGTAATTGATTTAATCCCGTTGGATTGGGTCCGCATCCTGCGAAATGGTCCTAAACTTAGGAGAAACGACTGGGTGGCAATCAATGGTCAAATGAATTAAATTGGCAATATTTTGGTCATTTCTAGTAACGGGGATGTTCTCCTGACTCTTTTTGATCTAGCATAGGACAACTCAGTTATACCCAATCAACAGGAAATATTCAATGGGTTAAAAAAGATCAGATTTTCAGAATTCGGGTATTACTAAAAAAAAAATACCTTGTTCGCTTTCAGACCCTCAACTCCCATCTCTCATTTGGAGCTTGATCCAATTTATTGGACCTGGAATAACCAAGGTAGCAAAAGAATAGACTACAGACGATCTCTGCACTTTTTAACAGTAAAATCCATTTACAGGATGCTAAGACTAAAAATCAATTTGAGAGAAAGAGTGATAACAAGATGGATGAAGCATCTAAACCTAAACAAACAAGACCTTAGCCCAACCAAGTGGTTCAAAGAGACGAAGACAAGACCAGCAAAGGTGGCCTCACTTCAATGGCAAATTGAACACAGGTGTCTCCCAACAAATGATTGGCTAATAAGTAGAACTTCACTGGAACAAAAAGGATTAGTTGTTCCCTGGTGTAAGTTCTGCAGGTTGGCCTTTCCCTCAAAACTGATCCCTGAAAAAATTGAGCACGTCTTTATGCAATGTCCTGGGGCTGTTTAGCTATGGAGATGGTGGGACCGCATTTGGAGACAATTAGAGATGATCACTCCATGGCCTTGGGGTTGGAGGTCAAGACTGTTAGAAACCTGGGCCCCAGATCCCTCAGACGACTTTACAGTAAACATCTTCATCCTAGGGAGAAGAGCGATCCTCTGGAGCATTTGGAAGAGAAGGTGCACTTATGAATGGGAAGGAGTTCGTCTTGATGGACCAAAATTTACAGATTCAATTAAACAACAAATTCAATTGGACATTACTTCTAGACTAAACCGCAGTGCAACAGCAGTACAATGTCGGTAGGATATCGGTGAGTCCATAGTCAGTCAGCAGAAGGTCCAGTCAGTCCCAGTCCGGTCCAGCAAGTACCACAGGGGGACTGTGAGCACCAAGGGCCGATGGCAAGGGGCAGACCAACAAGTTTCTGAAGTATAAATCAAGAGGCAGCGCCCAGCCATTCATTCATTCCTGCGTGAGCCATGCGGAAGCGCTGCCACAGCGACTTGTGCAAGGAGGTCTGCAGATGAGCCCGGAGGACGCAGTGGGCAAGAGAGAGGGAGTTAGCATAGCGATAGGTTAGATGCAGCGATAGCTGCCATAGCTGTAGTTAGTAGTGAGTGTGTGTGTGTGTTCGAGTGTTAGAGTGATGCGTGTGGGGTATCCAAGGTGATCTAGTGTATGTGAACAGTGAGATGTTTGGGCGCTGAAGTCGCCATAGCCAATTGAGAGTGAACTCGTATCCGAAAGCCATATCTCTGAGTTTTGAGTGGGCGCATGTCGCCAGTATGCTGCGTTGCTGTTTACATGCATGAAAAGTGTGTTTGAGAACGAGTCTGATTGCATTGGTATCGGAGCTGGTACCTGCTACTCCATGCGCGCCGTCGTATGCAGGGCCTGATGTGCCATAGCCGAGGTGGCAGCCGAAGGAGATAGTCCGCCATAGCGGACCTGAGGTCGAAGACGCCGCCGCGCACCTGCA